TCGTCGAAAATGTAACGAAGCAAAAGATTCTTTTAGCTTGGATATTGTTGCTATGGAAAAAATAACAAAGGAAGTGGCCGTGGGAGAACGAAATGAGGGGGTCGTGCGATCCAACACCTTATTCACGGGAAGCATTGATTTCCATTGCACACATTCGACAAAAACGATTTTCCAGCGGTGTCGAGAAAGCCGAGCCTCGGCCATATACAACATAAAAACGACTGTAATTTGCATATGGAATAAGAATGAGATGGTGGTACAGTATGGAAACAATCCGTCGAAGAATGAACCATCACGTTGAGCAGCTAGCTGTTACACTTCGATTCCTTTTGGTCTCGCCCAAAACAACCTTAATAATTTACCTCAAAGAGCCAAATAACCTCTCTTTGGCGTATCACGACCTTAAAAACTGAGGAGGGTTAGACTAGTGTGCGTGCCCTATGTGTGTGTGTGTGTGTGTGTGTGTGTGTGTGTGTATGTATATGGGTGTTTAGTATGTATGTGTGTGTATACTGTGTGTGTTTCTGTGTATGAGTATGTGTGTATGTGAGTATGTGTGTATGAGTGTATGTGTGTGTTTATAAATGTGTATGAGTGCGTATGTGTGTGTGTATGGGTGTGTATGTATGTATGTATGTGAGGTGTGTATGTGAGTATGTGTGCATAGGTGTGCGTATGTGTGTATGAATGTGTATGTATGAGTGCGTGTGTGTATGTATGTGTGTGACCGACACCTAGTGACAGACATATAGATTTATAATTATACTACACAAGAAGATATCAGTGTTAAACAAAAGAAATTAAAATAAGACGGGAAGCATATCACGAAGCTCTGAGGGAGCAGAAACTCCCCAGAACGGAATGGTCGAACTCGGCGGGAGGACGAAGCAGAGAAAACACAACACTGGATCCTGGAATCAGGGGAGAAGTGCTTATATATCCGAGTGATTACAGATCAAAGGGATTGCATAACTCTAAAAGGGGTAGGTCTTCAAGCGTTACATAAAAGGACTAGAGATGTCCCATCATGATGACGTAGTGGTTTTTTACGAAATTTTAATAAAAAGTAATGAATCATCACATGGAAGGCGTGATAATCGGAACGAGAGGATGGACATATATGAATTAGGATATGAAACCAGCAATCCTAATTGCGGTAAGATTTTACTTCATTTCACAAACCATTACTTTTACTTTTACTAATTTCCGTATTTTTACTAATTTCGAAATAAAATAACCACTTAAAATTGAAATTAAATTTACACCACTTCCAAACAATCGTTGCACTGACAGGAGGTCCAATTGTGGTAATGGTAAGAAATGTATACGACTTAATGGACCGAAACAAAATTTCATGCCATTATAATATTTTACTTCTAATTTCATCATATTACTTTTTCCTGCCTTCTTCGTCTTCTAACTTTTTTAAAATGTTTCATACGAAAAAAAGAAAAGCAAATTATCACAATGTCCTCAAAAAGTTATTTGTCCTGACGACTGCGTCCTCAACCCCCGCCCCTCCGATCACCCCTTCCCCTCTATGCTCAAAATGTCGTCTACCCACAGGAATTTTATCATCCAAAATATTTAGTGATAACAAAAGCTACTGACAAAAACTGATAACAAGTCCAGAGATTTTCGATTCCGCCCCTCTTCTCACCCTCCCCCCTCCTCCTCCCCTCTCGCAGCAGCGTCTACTATCGGAAAATTGATCACCTGGTGGGCTATTCTCGGGGAAGTTGATCATCTGGTAAGCATTTTACTGTTAAAAAGTGGAATTTTAAGGATTTTTCGAAAAAAAGTTGCGAATGCTGCGGGAAAATTTCGCGGAAGGGACGTCTTCGCGTTTCAAAAACATTTCCAGCGCCTATATGAAACGAACGATTTCAAATATTAAGATGGATGGGATAGGGATCAAAAATCACCTATTTAATAGGTCAGATATATTTAATTTATACAAGTTTTATAACACAGCCATATATTCATATGCTTCATATATTCAAGCAAAAATGCTTCATATATTCAAGCATTTTATCAAGGAATCATAAGTCAGACAAAATGTCAGATAAGAAATCATAAGTTATATATTTTATCAAGAAATCACAGGTCATATGTTTCATCCCTTAGCTGTAAACACAAACTGAGTTTTGGAGTGAATTAATCGCTTGGAAAATGAAACTTATCTTTATGTTTGCAGCTAACAGATAACACGTGCAATGAGCGCATCACAATCTGTTCATCGCTATACTGCTTTACTTAACTCAAATATTTCAGCCTTCCTATTATTACTATTCGAATTTTCAGCATACTTTTACTTCCTATACCATCTGTTTGGCTAAATTTT